GTGTGATCAGTTCCAACATACCCCCTTGCCCCCTGCCTTAGATACAGCACAGCAGAAGACTTGCATGCATGTGTCTTCTGTTGCCCTGTATTCTCTCAATCAAAGTCAAAGAAATGGCATTGGTCGCCCTGTGTGATGACCTATTGAGGGAGGCTGACAGGGGCAAAGTGGCTCTCCTGGTCCTCCTCAACATCTCAGCGGCCTTTGATACCATTGACCACGGTATCCTCCTGGGGAGGCTCTCTGAGCTGGGAATTGGTGGCCTGGCACTGGCCTGGCTCCATTCCTTCTTGGAGGACTGCCCCCAGAGAGTACAGCTTGGGGAGAGGGTTTCGGCCCTATGGAGTCTCAATTGTGGGGTTCCACAGGGGTTGATTATCTCCCCAATTCGGTTCACCATCTATATGAGGCCGCTGGGTGTGGTCATCATGGCGTGTGGAGCATTGTGTCATCAGTACGCTGATGACGCTCAGCTCTACATCTCCTTTTCACCAACTGCAGGAGATGCCATTCTGTCCCTTCAGCGCTGCCTGGGGACCGTACTGCAATGGATGCAGGAGAACGGGCTGAGGCTGAACCTGGACAAGATGGAGGTACTGAGGGTGGGCGCCCACACAGTTGGGGCCCTGGGAAACTCCCTTTCTTTTGGCCAAGGATGGGGTCCGCAGCTTGGGGATCCATCTGGTTCTGGCGCTCACTATGGAAACTCAGGTGGCGTCGGTGGTCCATACCGCCTTTTTTCATCTTAGGCGGATAGCCCAGCTGCGGTCCTATCTCAATGTTGGGGCGCTCACTACCTTGGTGCATGCGCTCATAATCTCAAGATTAGACCACTGTAATGCGCTCTACATGGGGCTGCCTTTGAGGCTGTTGCGGAAACTCCAGGTGGTGCAGAATGCAGTGGCCAGAATACTTAGTGGAGTGAAAAAATACCAACACATCTCACCCTCTCTGGCTGCACTGCATTGGCTGCCCATCCGGTTCTGCATCAACTTCAAAGTGTTGATGCTTATGTACAAAGCCCTAAACCAGGCTTGCCCAACCTGCGGCCCGAGGGCCGCATGCGGCCCAGGTCAGCTCGTAATGCGGCCCAGTGCAATTTTTTATTTTTAAAGAAATTCCAAAGTTTTAAGTTACACTGCTGGCACTTGTGGGCAGAATGTGGCCGGGACATGTCACAACAGTAGAGTGGGAGAGAGGGAAGGAAGGAAGGAGTGGGAGGGGAGGGAACAGGGGGGCTGCGTGACTACATTGTGCCATCCCCATCAATAGGTGGACCCCCTCCCAGCCCCATAAAGCCGCCAGAGTCAAGCTGGCAGCCTCTGCAGTCGGAGATCGCAGCTGCCATTAAAAACACTCTCTCCCACAATGGGTTAAGATGCCAGGGTCATCCGGATCACCGACTCCCTCCCCCATCTGTGCGACACCTCCGCCCAAATCCTGGAGCCAGGTGGGGGGGACGGCATAGCCAGCTCCAAAGGGCGACAGGACCAAAACCTCATCGTCCTCAGACACTCCTTTTAATGTCGAGGGGACCAGGTGAGGACCCACTGACCCCCAGAACTCCCCGATTCTTGCAGCTGCTGCCTGCAAGCAACGGTCCGATATCTTGTCTCTTCCGTTTCTCCCTCTCCCGTTTTTGAGCGAGACGGAGCCATCTCTGGCGCTGGAGCTTCCTATGAGAATGGTATAGGGAGGGAGAGGCACACCTGAGCCAGAGGATGGAGCAGCCAGACTGGAAGGGCCATCGTGAGCCCGCCTGTTTGGTCTTTCCTTCTGCCTGGGGAGCGGCCGCTGGAGGCCGGACACAGGCGCCAGGCTGGCTGGCTCGTGGCTTTCCGACAGCTGAGAACAACAGGTAAGTTTGCACCCTTTCAGCAGGACATTTTTCACATCCGCCTAGAGTGGTCCTATGTGATTCAGATAGGCGGGATATAAAATAAATAAATAAATAAATAAATAAATACATCCTCACAAAAGTTGCTGCTGTATTTTGACAAATCAAAAATGTTAAGAGTGAATTCTATGATATTTCTCTCTTGATGGATACTGTGGCATTTTTCATGTTCATTTTGCTTACTGCTATTACAATATTCAGAATTTGTAATCAAACCTCAATCAGGAAATGAAATCACGCATTTGTACAAAATGGTAAGCTGGAACCTCCCTGCCTGGGCAGCTTGTAGCCCTGCAGATGTTGCAGGAGTGCAACTGTCATCATCCCTCACCACTGGCCATAGTTTCTAGGGCGCATGGGAGTTGCAGTCTGACATCATTTGGAGGTCCACAAGCAGTTCATCCCTGGGATAAGATGACCCAGAAGTAAACTGTAATACTCTGGCATCTTAGAAGGGAGACAGTCCTTTCAAGTAACTATAGGAAACACTACCTGCATATGCTGTGATTTTAAAAAAGAGAATAAAAGGTATTCCTTTATTTAATTGTTTGTTTGTTTGGTACATGCATGAAACTGAGAGACTAGGAAGTTTCCATCTGAATATTCTCGTTGTGTACCGATTTTGTGGTTCAAAAACTTCCTACTTTCATGTCAGCATTTCAAAACATCTTGATCTGAGGGAGCGGAGAAAGAAAGAGGAAGATTGTGTCTCTTGGATAAAGTACAACATTTAAGAAAACAAGATGTATTTATAGCAAAAACAAAAGAGTTCTGTGAGACTTGAAGATAAAGTCTATCTTTGATTTTTCATTGGCAATCAAACATCCTCACATGCAATTTTAATGCAATAAATGGTGCTAAAGGTGCTTTTGGATCTACGGATCTTAGTACCACTAGTCAGCTGGACGGCTACTTGGCTTTATCTCCTTACAGTTTTTTAAATGGTAGGATAAAAGATAAAAAAGCAGCAGGGAAATCCAGGAATATTATTAATAGAAGACAACATCCCTTGTCTCCCTCCCAGAAAATTCTGTAAACAAGGCAGGATAATTGCACAAAAAAGCCTTGTCGAGAAGCAGCCGAAACACTAAAATAATGGTCATCCAGTGCAAAATTTGTAAACTATTTTTATCTGCCAAGCTTTGGCAACCAAGCTCCCTTGGTGTGGTTTGTTTTTAGCTCAAAGCAGTTTCAATGCCAGGAAGGCCATCTGGGATCACCCCAGCTGGGAATGTTCGCTAAGATTTTATTTATTTATTTTTCAAATTTACAGCACAAAAGTTCTGTGGAAACAACACACATCTGTCACAGGCTGCTTTTTGTCCTTTCAGTTTTAAATGCACATAGGAGCTCAGCACAGATGCTGTTTAAGTTACTAAGGTACAGAGAAACTCTTGCTCTGCTCCAATGCTAACCCTGGGTGTGCTTCGTAGCAATTTTCTGAGTCAGAGGAATGATCCTTTTGTGGTCACTTGTGGTTCAGGCAAAGCAGCAGCAACAACATGAAGACTGAGGAGATAAAACTTCCCCATTGAAAGTGCTGAAAGCTGGGATTTGGCTTTTCTGTCTGCTAATCAGGCCTGCAAGACTCAAGGAAAAACATCGTTGAAACTCAGAATTAAGAAGTTTTAAGCTGTTTTAACTATTGCTTCATGTTATTGTGTAAACCACCTGTGAAGTCTCTGTGGAAGAATGCTATAGATGTGTTCTAATAAAATCAATTTTAAGTCAAACTTGCTTAAAAGTGATAAACGTGTTATTTACTCAATAGTCCACCAATCTGATGAAACTTGGAAAAAAAAACTTAAACAAAGGTGTGGCCAAGACAGACCAAAACAGGATGTTGCTACAATTAATGAGAACATCTCCTGTCACTGATACTAGCAGGTGTCTCGTGCTTGAAAAGCCAGAAACTAGTTAGCCCGCAAACTAATTCTCAAAAGCAACATGAGATGAGAGACACTGAACTAAAAACAGGTGGTTACCAAATGTTTAACTAAATCATATCCTTATATATATATAATGCTAGGCATGTACGCTACTTCTAATGCTCATTCTTTCACCATGCCACTTGAGGCTGTTAGATACACCTCACTCTTGCCACAGATATGAGCATATTTCTCATCTTGATGGTTTGTATGTAGGACCAACCCTTGGGCTGCTCTGCCTGAAAAAACAGTAGCCAGTGGATAACTCCAAATCTGCATGCAGATTAGTTACCAAAGAAAGATGTAGCAGACTTTTCTGTCTCCCTGTAGGCACTGACAGCTCTACCAAACTTAATTACATCTTGTTTACATGGAGGAGCAGCACAGTTATGCAACATTTTGTGGTCTGTCAGATATTTTTGTAATTTAACTTTTCAGCTGAGTACGTATTTTTTCTTACTTTGAAAATATGAGTGGTGCCTCTTTCTCTAGACCCTTTAAATGTGGAAAAATGCAGGGATGATTGCACCATGAATGCGATAGTGTGAGGGAAAGCCATGAAGTATTGCTGTTTTCCTTTTTAATCAGTGATTATGAAAGTCACTATTTTGTATGGGAAGGAAGGAAACACTGAATACAAATACCAGCAAGCATGTTTAAAGGTGTCCAAACTCAGAACTTCCTTAGCTGGAAGTGTCCCACCCTTTCCAAAATACCATTGTCTCATTAATGAAATAGTCTGTTGATGACCTTTTTTCCCCCCTCTTGATTTGTATTTTATAAGTGTTAGTGAATTTTTGGAATTGTTTCCTTGTGGGATCAAAATATAACCGTTTATAGACTGCTAAATATTTTCCCCCTGGGTGTTTGGTCTTGGTAATATCAAAACAGGACTACCAAGAAAAGAAGATTCTGTGATTTCAGCCAAGGTAGAACTCAGTATTAAGCAAAAAGAAAACAGGATTTTAATGAAGCTCGAATTTTATTCAGAACAGAAGTTAGAACCGTATTCCATTCATCAGAATGGCATGCTTTCAAACTAAATATAACTTTATGTGTCTCAATTTATTCCTGTAAAATATAAACAATAGCATTTCTTTCTGCTTGATGTCTCAACTAAGTTGCATAATTTACAGTGTGGTATTTCTCTGACTTCCTGTTTTCTTCTCTCACAGCACATTCAACAACCTTCAAAATCACCACTCCTTACTCCCAATACATCTGCCCTGAAGGTCAAAATGTCACCTTGACTTGTAAGCTCAGTGGGGTTCTTGCTAACCGACATGATTTCCTTTCCAAAGTGTGGTACTTCAACAACCAGGGTGACCACAGCTGTTCTCAAAGAAAGCATGTCCGCAATGGCCTGTTTAAGGAGTTGCACCATGAGTTTGGCAAGCACCATGGCACACCTGCTGGTAACAACACAGCTGATAAATCCATCCATGGGCAGTTAATCAATGGGGTGGAGGCCTCCTCGGATCACCATGGGACGTTCCATATCACCATGGCCAATCTTACTCTGCAGGACAGTGGCCACTACTGTTGCTATGTGGTAGAGGTGAAGAAGGAGCATAACAAGCCACATGCAGAGCAGCAGGCTCATGGCTTCATGGAACTTCGCATACAGAAAGGCAGGTGAACTCTCCATACAAAACTTACATTTTCTCTCTCTCTCTCCTCTATCATAATGCCCTAGAATTGTGTGGACAAATCAGGATAAAATGGACTGGATTAAAAAAACAGGAACTGTAGATTACCAGTGGGGTAATTTTCAGAGGAAGTTTTAAAGTTTGAATTGAATTGGTACAGGGAGGGTTTTATAGAAACCGATAATAGTAGTGAGATGCTTTCCCTTTTCTGATTGCAGGGGTCAGTCTGAGGAATGGGTGGAACTGTATGCTCATTCAGAGAGAATACAATGGATGAATTGCTCACAGCCTTAATTGGCCTAGTGCCATTGTTGTATAGTTAATCAGACTGTTTGTATGGTGGTGTTACTTCTCCACATATACAAAATCCCCAGCTTGCTAAGGCGACTATTCTCAGGAGGAGGAAGATCCCATTAAAAGCTTGCTGCTGATGTAAGAGCACCATGGGGGAAGCCGTGATATCAGTCTTAAGTAAAAGACTTGGCATGCTTTTATTTAATGCCCCCAATAGCTATAGGCTATTTTTCATGTATCTTTGATAACTTGGCTGCAGTCCTGTGGGCACTTACATGGGGAGTGGTGGGGTCCCGTTGGAAGGAGTGGCTGTTACTATGAATAGATATGCATAGGGAGGCGAAATCTAGAATCATAGAATCATGACGCTGGAAAGGGCCTATAAGGCCATCGAGTCTAACCCCCTGCTCAATGCAAGAATAGAAATCAAAGGATATCTGCCAGGTGGCTGTCCAAAATAGAATCATGAATATGGGTCCATGTTTGAGTCCTCTTCCAGCTACAGTGAAAAGTCCCTGTCAAGTGTGATGGATTTATTCTTCAAAGTAAGCCCCAGTGTGTTCAGTGGAGGTTACTTCCAGTTCAGTGCGAACAGGGTTGTAGCCTTGAATACATAGTGGCCAGTGGAACAGTGTTTACAGACCTCCTTCCTATCAATGTTGGTTCAAACCAGGGTGGATTTGATTTAAATGTAAATCACAATTTTAATTTTTAAAAAATAGATGTTTTCACTATTTAAATGTAAACAATCAGTTTTTTTAAATTTAAATCCTAATTTAAATCATTTTGATTTTAAAATGGTTTTATTCATCCTGGCGCAAACCTGCCCCCTCCCAAATGAGCTTTACTGGTGGATAAGGGAAAAATCATTAGGTTTCAGTGAGGTGCTTGCAAATCTCTGAAAGAGATTCTTTTGAAATAATTGATTAACCTGCAGCCATCACACATAATTCCTTTATTGCAACTTCCTCATCTAAAAGGAAGCCCCTGAGAAAGTTTATGTAAAATGTATCAAAATGTTATGTGATCAACAGCCAAGACAATATATTGTAGGTTAAAAGACATTGTATTGCAATACTGTACACCCAGACCAAAGGAAATCTTTGCTACACATTGGCCATGTCCAGATGGCGTCCTTGCCCATTTAGAGCCAGAGAGTAAAATCAGAGGGGGTGGGGTTCTGCCTCTTAAAGTGATCCTGGTCTGCCTTTTGGATTAGCAGCAATGAATATGGGAAATGGCATGCCTAGCACTAAAAAGGCAACATAAAGCAACACACAACAAGGCAAGCAAGCAAGCAAAAAAACCCTTTTTGCCAAGTAGAGCACTAGAAAATAAGGTGTAGGAGAAACCAAGGGAGCCCCACATGTTCTTCTACATTTCAGAAACCTCTAATATGTTGGATTCTGTTTTTCTGTTATTGAAAGAGAATTCAATTTTCAAGAAATTAACAGTATTTGTTTTTAATTCACAGCAAATGGTACACTCCCAAACTGTACATTTCATCCTGCTGACAGTACAGAGAGTGAAAGTAAGCTTGCTCTTCATAATTTGCTTCTTACTATATTATTTTTGCGGGGATGTGTCTGTCTGTCTGTCTGTCTGTCTGTCTGTCTGTCTGTCTGTCTGTCTGTCTATCTATCTATCTATCTATCTATCTATCTACGCACATACACACATACATATGCACACATAATGCTTAAAGTTAAAGCAGATTAAACATTCTTGTCAAACGGTTTAAATGTTTTGATATTTTGAATGTATCCTGTCCCCTTACTCTGCCTTCATGCACAGACTTGACTGCATTGTCTAATCTCATTCTATCCCTTTTTAGTTTTTTTCTTTGATGTTTCAAATTATAAACGCATTGATGGAATTTAAAAAAGGGAGAAGTGAAATATACAGAATAATACTGTGGGCTAGGAATTATTCATCAAGGTAGGATGGCAGTGACTGAAAACCAGCAATAGGTTACAAATAGAGTTGCTGCTGTTGTGTGCTGCCAAGTCACCTCCAACCTATAGTGACTCATCATCCTTAGAACTGCCGAGCTGGAAGGGATCCTCATTGATGGAATTTAAAAAAGGGAGAAGTGAAATATACAGAATAATACTGTGGGCTAGGAATTATTCATCAAGGTAGGATGGCAGTGACTGAAAACCAGCAATAGGTTACAAATAGAGTTGCTGCTGTTGTGTGCTGCCAAGTCACCTCCAACCTATAGTGACTCATCATCCTTAGAACTGCCGAGCTGGAAGGGATCCTGTGGATCATCTCAGCAATAGGTTACAACTAGAGTTGCTGCTGTTATGTGCTGCCAAGTCACCTCCAACGTATAGTGACTCATCATCCTCTTAGAACTGCCGAGCTGGAAGGGATCCTGTGGATCATCAAGTCCAGCCCTTGTCAGGAAGGCACAGTGGGGAATTGAACTCCCAAACTCTGGCTCTGCAGCCAGATAGCTAAACCTCTGAGCTATGACTGAGTGAGTGACCTCTAGAACAACTAGAACAGACCCACTGAATTGATGATGGGTATTTGGGTGAGTCAGCTCCTCTAATTTCCATTGATTTAATGGGCCTACTGGATTTTGTCTTACTACTGGATTTCAGTCCATATGTCCCCAAAAAAGATTTGCTTGGAGTTGGAGTCAATAGAATAGACACCAATACATAGCTAAAACAGAGAGGGGGCATCTATTATAGCAGTCAGAAAACCGCAACTCTTAAATCGCTCTAGCCAGTGTTTTGTAAAGGGAAAAAGGAATTTATTATTTATTTTTTTTATTTTATTGGTTTTTTCCCCCGCCTCTCTAGACAATGTCTACTTGGGGCGGCTTACAAATAAAAGAAGTAACCCCTTTTGCAGCTTCTTTCTCAGGGAGGTGCTGATTGCATGTTTGGCATGTGTATCAAGTAATAAAATTCATTTCAAAAAGGAAGAAAGCCTAACATAATTTTTTTTCCCCTGCTTGTCCGTTAAAAAAAATCAAGCACCTCTGTATCTCTTGGCTATATATATATGTCCAACTTCCATTTACTACTTTTGGCCTTTTCCTCTTATTGGCAAATTGCTCCATCAACAACAAAAAAAGCAATTAAAACGTCTTTGATCTGTATTATCTTCCATATTTTGACAAATTTGCTTCCACCTCCCACATGTACTGGATTTTTTGGAACACTACCAAAGTCAGTGCCTTCTTAGACAGTACTGCATGCATAATATTGTCTTAAAGTTGCTATAATCTGAACCCAAACATTACTCAACTTATTCCAGTTCTACATCCCAGCCTAATTTTTGCAGTGTTTTGGAAAGTTTGGTGCCAAAAACCTTGTTTTACACAATCCAAACAAACCCTTTCCTGTTTGCTGCTTTGCGTGTCTCATTATGGAAAATATATTTGCTCTTTGCCATTGCTACTGTGCCTGTTCTTCAACAAGAAGCCATTTTAACCTGTAAAAATGAAAGCTCATCTCTCACTACAGTTTGGCAACACTGAGCATATTCTGTTTAATTCTCTTTCCTATTCAAAACACTGATGTAACAGGTCTAACATGTAAGTCTGCTCCCATCATTGGTCTGTCTTGACTTCCTGCGAGACAGCCAAGAGTGGACAATTGGCTGGGGCCTCACACGGCTATCCCTGGAGGGCCACTCCTGCAACCCCCCCCCCACACTCTCTGATTGTTTTCTTACAGAAATTGAGTTTTTATACTGGAAAAAATGGACCTATGTGTGTGGGGGGGAGGGGGCACTGGGATCTGGGGTATCGTCAGAGCATGGCAAAAGTGACTCCATGCCCCCCTGAGAGTATGAAGAGACATTTTGAGCAAAAATAAGAGGGGGTGGCATCCCACTTGAGCTCTGACGGTTGTATACCACCCATCCTTGAGCTAAATACTGTCTGTAAATAAATTTTAATAATAATAATGTATTTGTATGATCAACGGATGGGATGTAAATAAAATATGCTTGTAGTTTTGCACTTCCATGCAACTATCAGGCTGTGTATTTCATCATCTTACTTGATTCTGCACAGGTATATAAAGCAAATCATATTTTTTTCCGTCTAAGACTAAAGCACAGCATGCCAAATCAAACTATGAAATGGTAAAACCCTTGGGCATATGTAGTCTAGCATGTGAAGCATGGTGTTCTGTGTGTTATTAAATTTCATTAGCTTGTTGTGGATCTGAGCCAAAGGGCAATGAAACCAGCAAGTGTCTTTTAATTAACTGCAGTAGACTTTGGATTGAGTCCAGTCTTCGCTCTTAAAGCTCCCTCACCTTCTCTCTGTATTGATAACAGGAGGGGAAAATTCTCCCTACTCCAGCATTTCCAAAATTTCAACGGAATTTGGGATTGTGCTTCAGATCAGCATAGCTTAGGGAGTAATCCTGTTACATTTGGAAAGGCTGGCTGTTCAGAAGATAAAGGAGATCTTCCCTTCCATCCATCAAGTGGAGGGGCTGTGGTTGAGAAGGATGTTTTTTCTGCTGCAGTTATGTAAGGCTGCTTTTGCTTCTTTGACAGCAAAACAAAGGGGGGTCCTTGAGAGTCAATTGGACACTGCTCCTGTTCCCACATTATCTCCTCAAAACAGGGAAGAAGCATGACAGCTCCTGTTTTCCCCTCTAGTGTCCTGTTGGAGGTTTCCATTTTATTACTTCTTCAGCCTTGGTGTCTCAGTCTCCTGCCTAGCTGATCTCCTCCTCTCTCTATATATTTTTTAAATCTTTCTTCAAATCACCTCAACATAAAAGCTCATAATCAAAACAAATACCAAACATGATACATTTTCCTTGACTTCTAATAAGTAGTGAATCTTAGCCTCTCTTTCTTCAATTAATAGGAAGACAAGTATGTCACCTCATCTTTGTGCTAAAAATCATATGGTGGGTGAATAATTCATTTCTTCAGGGTTTCTCAAAACAATATTTAGTTCTACAAAAATATACCTTAAAACTTGCCATTCTACCATTTTATTTTTACAGACAAAACGTGACTGAAACATGTTTTTCTTTGGTGAACCAAGATGCCATGTAACACAAGTGATACACTCTGGTTTCCTGTAGGTTGGCACAATTCAGGGGAAGGCATTTTGATTTTCAGTGGATTCAGGGGGAAAATGTACAGTACATTTAACCCAGACCCTAGCTACAGTCACAACCCTCCCCTACTGCTAACTCTCAGTGCACTGGGCTTGTCATTCAGTCAGAAAATAGCCCAGGATTTATTCAGTCCTTTTTTTTCATTCAAGTTAAATACATTTCCTGCTGTTGCACCCTAAATTGTTGTTTGTTTTAACCATGGACTTCCCCCCCCCCGTTCAAGTTAAATACATTTCCTGCTGTTGAACCCTAAATTGTTGTTTGTTTTAACCATGGTTAGTAGAAACAAATCAGGTTCATAAATCATGGCTTGAGTTGTCTTGTCTTGTCTTACCTAATGAGTTCCCAGATAATGAAACCTAGTTTGTTATATAGGAATACATTGCTGCAGAGAAAGAGATTAATCTAAAGGGTTCCTTTTTAATTAACAGGATCGTGGCTTCAGGTCTACATTACCGCATGATGAGAGGTACCCACATTCACAGGAAATAGTTACTGCATGAGAACTCAAAAGATGCATCATTCCTTTCCTCTATCAGGGACAAGAATTGTCTAGTTGTGTCTTGATGTTGCCTCTTTTTTTCTTTGCTATTTTTCAGGCATCACGGCAGCTGCACTTGCAACAGGGGCTTGCGTTGTGGGCATTTTATGCTTGCCTCTCATCCTGGTCCTTATTTATAAGCAAAGACAAGCAATCACAAACAGGCGTATGTATCATCAAGTTCTCTTCCCTTTCTTTACTCCATGCTGTTTTCATTTTTGTTTCCTTACTTTGCCACTTCATAGATAATATTTAGTTGTTTAGGGTGAAGGTTGGGTTGCTAGTGAGTAGTCATGTGTCTCTTTTGAACAGCTACAATCAGTGAGAAATCAAGTGACAACGGCTTGTCTGGGTTTTTCATTTACTTTTCCCTCTCCGTATGCTGAAGAAGCATGACTTAGTTTACTTCCTAATAGTTAGAACAAGGGGAAGGTGATAGAGGGTACCAGGGGAAAGTTGCAGCTGTGCCAGCTTCTGCTCTTGCAGACCAGTTTCCGATGACTGCATAAACTCTGTATTGCAATGATTCCCAGCTTTTTGGTCCTCCTGAGATTTTGGATGCAAAACCCCACAGTCTCTGACCACAGGCCGCATTGCCTGAGACATCTGGGAGATAGTGTAACTACCTCAGTCTTGGATGAAACTGAAAATAACCAAAGAAACCAAAGAAAAAGCGTTGATGAAAAATTATGGAAGAGCTTTGACTAACAAGCAGGAGGTTCCCCTAAACCACTTTGTCTTTTAGCTACGATCAGTGGGAAATGAAGTGACAACAGCTTGTCTGGGCTTTTCATTTACTTTCCCCTCTCCATATGCTGAAGAAGCATGACTTAGTTTACCTCCTAATAGTTAGAAGAAGGGGAAGGTGATGGAGGGTACCAGGGGAAAGTTGCAGCTGTGCCAGCTTCTGCTCTTGCAGACCAGTTTCCGATGACTGCATAAACTCTGTATTGCAATGATTCCCAGCTTTTTGGTCCTCCTGAGATTTTGGATGCAAAACCCCACAGTCTCTGACCACAGGCCGCATTGCCTGAGACATCTGGGAGATAGTGTAACTACCTCAGTCTTGGATGAAACTGAAAATAACCAAAGAAACCAAAGAAAAAGCGTTGATGAAAAATTATGGAAGAGCTTTGACTAACAAGCAGGAGGTTCTTCTCTAAACAGTGATTTCAGTGGAATGGATTATCATCGTCTAGCAAGGCACCACTGTACCTCAGTCTTGGATGAAACTGAAAATAACCAAAGCATTGATGAAAAATTATAGAAGAGCTTTGACTAACAAGCAGGAGGTTCCCCTAAACCACTTTGTCTTTGTCTTGCCCCATGCTTTGTTGCCTGTGGGAATCACAGAAGAATAAAATACTGCCACGTGTTACAGTGGTTCCATTTCTGAACTTATGTTGAATAAAACTAATATCTGTGGCAAGTAATTAATTTGTGTATCTTGCCTTAAATGGAGAGTATTACTGCTACTACTGCTACTAAGGAACATTCCTCATCTGGTTTTACTGACTAGCCACAGTTCCAGACACAAGAAAATATTTCTCCCTTTTTGTTTATACACATCTCTTGGAAAATGAGTGATTCAGGCAAGAATTACTAAAGGGCGGATCAGTTTAATGGAGCTTTAGAATTTGCGTCAACATGTTTTAAACTGTGCTGCAGTGCAGCATAGTGCTTAGTCATTGATCAAATGGCATTAACATCATATCTGTAATGCTGTTGCATTAATATCTGCTAGGAGAGTCCTGCTTGTTTTTGTCTTCCTGATTCAAGCTTCTTGGAACGCTTGTGCTTGTGTACAGACAGTCTTATTGTACAGGGTAGTAGAAGAGGAGTAAATTCGCCCTAATGTCTAACCTGCCTTGTGGCTGTTGAGTTCCTATTTGGTGGTTCTGCATTCATTGCATGTAATTTTGGAAGAGTTCTCTTAAAGGCTGATGAAGTGGATATGTCCATGAAAACTTCCATTAAAATATAATGGTTAGTCTTTAAGGTGCCACATGTTTTTGTCTCTCTCTCTTTGCATTGTATTGTATTGTTTTGTTTTGTTTCTTTGGATTTTGCATTGTGTTGTTTTGCTTTGTTTCTTTGGATTTTGCATTCATGGCATGTTTCTGTTCCAGGGAAGTGTTGGTATGGATTGTTTAGTAGTGGGGAGACAGCAGCTCTTAAAATGTCCTTGAATGACGACGTCCAGCATTCTTGACCACGGGCAATCAAAGTTCAATGATAGTTAAAAGGCGACAGCTTTCCTACTCCTGCTTTAAAGAAAATGTATAGGTTTTCTTGAAGTTTTTTATTTTGACATTTAGGATGCTTAGAGGCTTTATAATCAAGGGAAGGGAGAATTAGAGGTGGGTAGCTTCCCATATCCCTGCCGCCCCAAATTCTCCTCATTTCATGGCCAGAATTGAGAGGAATTCTCCTATCCAAAACCAGGATATCTTGAGCCACCCGCCCACCCCTAATTTGGATAGGAAGCCAAACTTCAGAAGCATGTAGGGATTTCTAAAAAAGAGTTGTTTTTACCCTTTCCATATATTTATAAGCAGTGTGTTAGCAAGCAAGCACATCACAGTTGCTTCAGGGAGATAAAGGTTCTCCCCAAGGCTACTGCAGTTGCCTGATAAACATAACACATTTACTAACACAGTAGCTTAGTTGTTATATAGGAGAGGGAAGCTTATTAATGTCACTGTAGGTAGATTTGGTGTGTCTAAAATTGTCACCCTGTATTTGCCTCTGCATAAGAAGGCATAAAATCTTAAGAACTGAGGCGATATGAAAGGGCTTTGAGAACTGTAGACAGTATTTATTTTTCCCTTAAAGCCCTTGGCAAATGAATTGAGAGAAGTATACTTGACCAGCAGCGGGTCAAAGCAAGATGCACTCAAACACCAGAGAGCAAATACTTGTACCCTTCTGTAAGAAGCTTACATGACAGCACGAGTGGTGCTCTGTGTGGTAAGAACAGCCTCTACAAGGAGAAACGTTTGTGGCAAAATAAGTGCAGCAGACAGTTCAATAGGGTCAGGATGAAGAGGTATAAAAGCAAAACAAAGCACAGTAGGAAGCACAACTCTGTTTGACAGGATGTAGTAGTTTGAGAGCACCAGTCTCCTAAATGACATTAGATGGTTCAAGACTTTTCCTATGGTACATGAGAGTTTTAAGACAAGGAGACTGAAATTGAATATTGCAGTCCAGAAAGAACTGAACAAGTGTGATGTTGCATCCTACTGTATAAAATATGCCCCAGCATACACTGCAGGAGTGCAAAAGCTTCATCACACTTCTGCTGATACCCTTGCATGCTCTCGTACCGGGAGACTCTTTGGCGAAGGAAAGCGGCTGCATCAGTCCTCATCATGGAATAGAGCATGGAATCAGAGGTACTGTAGGAAGGTGGCTGGAAGAATGACCTAATCCCCCCCCCACAAGTTCACTAGGGCCAGAGTTCTTCAGATTGAAATACCAAATGTGAAAAAACTCAGTGTAAAGATACACTATGAAAAATAAAGAAATAAGCATAGTGTTCAAACTTGACGGAGACAGTGCACCAGTATTTCAGATATGAAACACTGGGACCCCTTCCTTTCATGACAGCTCGTGTGAGGTTCTCCCTGTTGCAGCAAAGGCAGTGATACCAAGATAACAACCCACATGATGTTCATATCAGGGACTTCATTGAGGTAAAACTTCAACAGATGTGTTATGTATGATTTAATTGTCACAGCAGAGCTGTTGATTTGTTCCCTATGTGTGGGGGGCGGGGAAGCCACGTTGAAGCTGTCTGAAGATTCTTGTGAACAGACAAGCAGACAGAACTGTGGAGCTCTGAGAAGAGAGAGATCTAGCTAGAGGCATTGTTGCAAGGAGAAGCTGCCACACATTGACCACAAAGAGGAATTTAGACAGTATGGGTTTCTCGCCTTGCCCAAGATTCTTCTGCATTCGAGATAGAAACATGCTTGTTGCATCGAGCAAGTCAAAAGTCACATTTGCCATGGAAGAACTGCTATGAACTATCCATCAACGAGACAATGCCTAAAATGCCACACTGCAACCTACATGCATACAAAGAAGAGTTATACAGTTTGATGGAACGGCACCTGTAAATATAATACAAGAAACGGATCAAATAAAGACATGCAGGGACAATTGATGGAAAAGTCTTGACCAGGTATTGGGTTATTATTATGAAGAGAGAGTGAAATTCAAAGTGAAAGTATCTCTGAAGAACGGGATCAGAATAAAGGTTGACAGCACAATTATTGAACATTTCCTTGAGACTTCTTATATCCCACATTAAACAAAGGCTGAACTGACAAACCTGACTGATAAGAATCTATTGCATTTCTCAAAATACAGTAGGTTTGCATGAACCCTGGATTGCAATCATGGCAGACCTTCTGTAGATGATAATCAGAACAGTGAAAAGGAAGGTGATGCAATAATTATTCTTCATGCCCTTGTTGAAATCCCAGCCTTTAGGGAACTAGACATGTGTTCACTTGGTATTGCTTTATTGCTGGTGCATTGGTGGCCACAACTCTGTCCAAACACCAGGTTAAATAGAGAAAGGGGGTATTCAAAATAAAATATATAATCCTAGGTAAGAAAAGAGACAAGATGCATCCTGGTTTTCGTGCAAAGGTGCCTCTTTGAAAGATTTATAGCTTCTAAGCCACAGAAGTTTGCATCCTGTTTTTCACACTTCAGGCTGCAAACAAGAGACTCCTTTTTCAAGAAGTGGCTGAGACACTGGAGAAATTTGTGTGCATCTTCTCTATAGATAAGCCACACTTCACAGAAAAAAATATTAGAAGTCTGCTGCCACTTGGGAAGGAACTACCATCAACTAATAGAATTCTGTGGCTATTACAGTATATTACCAGGAGCACAATTTTATGACACTGTTTCGAATCCATGCTGATTATCCATAGCCATACTTTCTATCCCCAACTCAAATAATTGACCAAGCTCTGCTTAAGCCTAGCTCAAAGTGACCAACTTCTTGATACCCATCCCTCTCCCAGCATAGGGAGGAGGGATCCCAGTCAATTTTGAATCTAGTTAGCCCTCAGCCAGCAGGCTATCTCTGATCGGTATCCATTACCTTTGTACAATGATCAAGTTACCACAGTAGTGTAATAAAGGAAGAAGTTCCTTCCATTGCAAGGTCAGGTATTTCTACACTCACTATGTTTTGTATATTTCAGCTGGGATGCAAAAAGTATATAAAAATAGAAATATAAGATGAAATATGTAGATAAGTTTAGAACACTATGTAGCAGGAAGTAGTGAAACATACGCGAGAAGGGAGGAGAAAATAAAGTGTGTCAAAGCAAACAGGAAGACATGTGAATAGTTGAGCTTTGCTTTGTGTATAATAACCAAATACTATATATTCCAGTTTGATTCAAGTGAGCAGTTTCTAGCAGGGGTCTCAAACTGTGGCCCTCGAGATGTTCTTGGACTTCAACTCCCAGAAATCCTGGCCAGCAGAGGTGGTGCTGAAGGCTTCTGGGAGCTGTAGGCTAAGAACATCTGGAGGGCCACAGTTTGAGACCCCAAATCAATGGGCATTCTTTATTGGGCTATATTTGTGCCAAACAAATGAAGCACCTGTATAAACCACAGTCTTACTAGACATTTGCTTCTGCATTTAGAAAAAGCAAAAAAAAAAAAAAAAAAAAAAAAAGGAAAGGGCCAAAATAAATTGCAAATCAATGGACATTTTATTGGTCTATATTTGTGCCAGACAAATGAAGCACCTGTATAATCCACACAGTCTTACTAAACATTTGCTCCTGCATTTAGAAAAAGCAAAAGAAAGATCTTTACTGGGGTCTTCCTCACAGGGGCAACAATCAGAAGGTACCAAAACTTGCAATGTGTCAGTGGCATAAACATGGTTCTCAAAGTGGAAAGAGTAGTACTAAGAGGTCTGTCATATTGACTGATAGTATTCTGGTGCTTTCACATAACGAAACTGTCGTGGTGTGGCACCAAACCTGCAATATATCTATTTATTTCATAGTTGTCAAAATGGTAATGCCCACATGAGCAACCATGGCAACTGCATTCTAGTTAAGAGGGTCATACATTTGACTAAGGAACAAACACAACATGAAAAGCCTTGAGGCAAGTACATAGTTAGGGGTTATCTATTTTATCTGTTAAATGGTCCAACTAATGGAGAATGTTTGTGGCTGCTGAGCTTCCTAATCAGTATGGCTCCATTTGTCACTTCTGATCATGTCCCCCTACACCTGACATAGGTAGCAAGACATTCTAACTTTTGCCTCACAATGGGTAGAAGTGGAAAATGGCCAACAAGACCACTTGAAGGGTGTGATGTAAGACAGTGGTTCTTAACCTTGGGTAACCCAGGTGTTATTGGACTGCAAGTCCCAGAAGCCCCGATCAGCATAGCTGGCGGTGAAGGCTTCTGGGAATTGCAGTCCAAGAACACCTGGATTACCCAAGGTTAAGAACCACTGATGTAGGAAATGAAACCAACATACCATTTTAACTTGCAGCAGTTCATCAAGATTTGTGCTGATTGCTTTATGTCAGCAAAAAACATGATAGGATTCTTGCCCCTGAATAATAGTTGTAATACTAACATTTGACTCAACAAAGAAAGCCACAGACTTCAGTTTCAGGATTCTTGCTCCTGAATAATACTGTAGTTGTAATAGTAATACTAATATTTGACTCAACAAAGGAAGCCACAGACTTCAGTTTGCAAGATAGGATTCTTGCCCCTGAATAATAGTTGTAATACTAACATTTGACTCAACAAAGAAAGCCACAGACTTCAGTTTGCAAGACCTGTGCCAGGGCTGTTAATGATATGGCCTTTTGGAGGCCAGTACTTCTTAGAGTGGCCATAAATCATAAGTGACATTATAGTACATAACAACAACAATATAGTGGTGCCTCGACTTACGAACGTCCTGACTTACGACCATTTCGAGTTACGACCAGCTCCGGCCGCAAAATTTTGCTTTGACTTGCGGTCGGAGCTTCCAGTTACGAACAGAAAAAGGCAGGGGGAAAAGGCAGGAAATTCAAATTGCTAACCATTGTTAGGCGAAGAGGCTGCTTCTTTGTAGCTCTTTCACCCCAATGGTTAGAGTCAGTGCGATCGGAGGAGGCTTCGGGGTGCCTGGTAAGGTAAGGTGCTGCTTTCTGCTTTTTAAAAACTGTTCTGGATGGGGTTTTCACCATGGTTTTGGGCTGGGGGCATTATGTTTCTCTGCTGTGATGGGGAGTTTGTTTTTTGGTATTTCCCCCCATTTCTGATGGTTCTTGGAGGTTTCCTTGCTTTTGGGGTTTTCCCCCCCATTTCTGATGGGTCTTGCATGCTCTGCTTGCTTTTCACTTTGCTTTCTTTGCATTTCCGATGGGTCCCTCTTGCACAATCCGCTTGTTTTTTGCTTTGCTTTCTTCGCATTTCCGATGGGTCTTGCACGCTCTGCTTGCTTTTTGCTTTGCTTTCTTTGCATTTCCGATGGGTCCTGTACGCTTCGCTTGCTTTTTGCTTTGCTTTCTTTGCATTTCCGATGAGTCTTACACGATCTGCTTGCTTTTTGCGTTGCTTTCTTTGCATTTCCGATGAGTCTTACACGATCTGCTTGCTTTTTGCATTGCTTTCTTTGCATTTCGGATGGGTCTTGCACGCTTCACTTGCTTTTCTCCCCTTCCCCCCACAAGCCGGAAGGGATTAATTGCATTTCCGATGGGTCTTGAAGTGATATTTTTGGTGATTTTTCCTTCGGCTGGAACAGATTAATTGCATTTCAATGCATTCCTATGGGAAATGGTGCTTTGACTTGCGGTCATTTTGAATTATGACTGGAGTTCCGGAACCAATTAAGTGTCATTTTGAATTATGACTGGAGTTCCGGAACCAATTAAGTTCGTAAGTCGAGGCACCACTATACTGACATTACCTCATTCCCCCCCCAGTTGTTTATTTTAAAGTGATCATTGACATTACCTCATTCCCCCCAGTTGTTTATTTTAAAGTGATCATGAATACCATTTCCACACCCAAACCTTTAGTGAAATCATGTGCCTTTTATTAGTTTCAACAATTACAACAAACGTCTGTTGATGAATTCTTAACACTGCAAAAAAGAGTATTTTCTCCCAAATCCCTTTGGCCTAGCAAAGCCAAGAACATCTCTTACTGCAGACTTAATTCTGTTTCATTCAAAAATTTATTTGAATCTTTTTTGTAGCTTGTTTTTTTGTCAAAGAATTTGCTGTGGAAATGCAAAAAACAAAGTACAAATATCCTCCAGATTGTTGTTGCTGCTGCTCTTTCCCCCATACATATCAATATTGCCTTGTTCTGTATCCACATGAATGCATAGGGTTGCTCTGGTCTCTAACTTCATGTACCACCCTTTCTTCTTGCCAGGAATACAGTCTAATTCTACCCTTATTTGAACAATGTCAAACTGATAGATCAGTTGATTTTCTTTGACACCCATTCTCATCCCTTTGCAGACTTGAGATAAACCTATTTGATCTGGAAGCTGTATTGCAAATAAGACTACAATTAAAATAATAACAGTAACAACAACAATAAATCTTTTTCTCTCTCTAATGCCTAAATATAATAGCTTATTCAATACTGAAGATCCAGATAGTCTGGTCAACTGGACTTTAATGTAAACAACACAATCTCTTCCATGCATAGCAGCTCAACTAATGGAGAAGCAAGAGGAACTGCGGCATATACAGTTAATGTTCCCATATATTAGCTTTTGCTTCTGCTTAACAAATTTTTCACTAGGAGGGAAATGGATAAAATAAATGACAGGATTCAACATCAAGACTTCGGTAAACTGCTTAGATTTATGATCTGTTTGTCCTGTGGATTAGTAGTTTCCACTTCTCTGGTCCAAGTCACCAAGGCAACGAATTTTGGACAAAAGACAAAGGAATCAGTTGCTAAGGAAAAGGAAAGGAAAGCAGCTTTCCTCAACATGCTGCCCTCCAGACAGGTCAATTTGTGGACAGTGGGTGTGTCACCCTTTGTTGTGTTATCTGAGACTGATGGGAATTGCACTCAAAATCTAAAAGGCTCTAGTTTGGGGGATATAGCTATAAGAGGAAATGGAAAGGGAGTGTATATCCTCCTATGCACTGTGGTCATTCTTTCTATAGGCCAGCTCAGCTAGTAATGTTTCTGCTTAAGTTCAAGGAAGCTAGACTAAATGGCTTTTGGGCTCCTTTTATTCCTAATATCCCCTTCCTCTAAATGCTGATGTGAAACAAGACTGAAATTAATGATCATTACACTAAGAATATTATGTTCCTTTTCATAGGTGCCCATGAACTTGTCAGAATGGAAAGGTGAGCTGTTTTTTTAGTATATCTTGTATATTTAGTCTACAGTTTGTCTTACAAAGGCCCATCAAAGGTGATTGCAATAAATTCAAGTTCACTTAAAACTACAAATTGTTGTGATATAACAACAGATTAATACAGCAGTGAAAAAAGGTCTTAAAACACAGCAAGTCACCGAAATAAAAATCTTATTAATTCATCTCAGGTCAATAAAGCTGCAGCGATCTACTGAGATCAAGCTGTGGTCCCAAAGATAATCTTAGAGCGGTGTTTCCCAATCCTTGTGACCCTGCCACCACATCTTCATAAAAAGGCATTTTTAATGGGGAAAACACATGAAATTAGGTTTTTCAGAATATAATTCTAGCCTAATATATTAATGTTAATGTAATGATTCATAATAATGGGGGGTTATAAATCTGCCTCTATCAAATAAAAATCGAAAAGAAATAAATGTCAATACATGTTGAGTTTAATTTACTTGTGGGGGGTGTAAAAATGACCCTCCCTACATGTTTCCTCCACTTTAAAAAAGCTGCCTCAGTATAGAGTCCCTACACCATCAAGCCCAAATAAAACCTTCCCAATGGCCGCCACTCCCTCCTTGGCTGTCCTCCCTCAATGTTTTCCTGTCTTGCCTTCCTCCTCCATGGCTCAGGCTGAGCCCGGAGGTATCTTCCTGCCCAGACCCCCTCCAGCTTCAGTGCACTGTCATCACCACACTTAAACGAGCCAGAGACTAAGGTAGACCAAAATGAAACAGCCTTGTGCGTACTATATATAATATAATAAATATTAAAATATTGCCAACTAAAAACAACCATGGCAACTTCCCAGAAAACACTTCATGACCCCTTTGGGAGTCCTGCAGCCCCCCTCTCCAGGTTTGGAACCTGTATCTTAGAGACTTTGTGTCTAGCAAGCCTTTCTAGCAAAGGAATTCATCAGGGAAGATGGCAGTGATGAAAATGCCCTACCCCTATTAAAAGACAAACTAATTTACTTGGATGCCGATGGCTTGAGCAGATTCTCTTCAAATGATAAAAGAACGTAGTGGAGTTGGAAGTATTTCATGGAAATTAAGTTGCCCCTCAAGATGTTTTGGGGCATTTTAGGACTTTAAAAATAGCATACCACTCTGGGGCATATAGCAGGTTGGCAACACCATGCTAATAAGGGGAAAGAACATCTCAGCTGCCCGTTATTGAGTTACCAAAGGTAGACATGGATGAGATCCTCATTCGTGAAATTAAATAATACCGAATTTTCAAGATAAAACAAAATAGAGCAATACTCTTCTTGTGGCTAGCCAAATACCTCAGTTAGGTCCTTGGCTGCAAAGCCAAAGGTTGGGAGTTTGATTCCTCATGATGTGTCCCAGGAGAAGAGCCAACCTCTGGAGCCTTGGAGAGATAGCAGTCTGAGAATTGCCTCCAGAAGGCATGGTAAACATCTGAGTATTCTACGGCTAGAAAACCCTGGGATGGGTCATCATAAGTCAGAACTGACTTGACAACACATAATAATTATAATCACTCTTACTGCATCAGGAAAGAATAAATTTGGATCCTCTCCTCTGCTTCGCCCTTTACTTTTGTATTATCAGCCTTTTGTTCTGAAAAACAGCAAACTGGTTCCAAGCTTACTTCACAGAAGTACACTTTGATATGCAGGATTCTTTGGTTCCACCCGTGATCACTTTAACCAAGGCTATGATCTCCTTGGTTCTATAATAGTCTGGGTAAAATCATTAAATCCATGATTTAATCCTTTCTCTAGTTTTACAGAGCAACAGAAATTACATAGAAAAAGAAGAAAATGTGATGCAGAAATTAATTTTGGTGCTTCTGTTGACAAGAGAAAAATACAACCACTTACTTTACCTTTAAGAAATGAATTTGTACAAAAGATTCTTGGTGTAATAGAAAGATATTAAAAGGGAATTATAAAAAAAATTAAAGAAAAAAGAATGAATTTTTCATTGAGGTGGAAATACAGCTGCTCAGATTTTGGACAGAAGTGAATTTCTGATTGCTATGTAGCCTACTCACTTCTTAGAAAACATTGAAATCATCATCCAGTAACCACTAAACACATACTAAAGCGCAGCACTTTCCCACTCTTCACTGTCAACAAAACAAAAATGTACCTGTAATGTTATGACATTTTGCCTTGCAGAAGAATGGAAAGGCAGGAGGAAGAGCCAGACTTGACTCTGGCAAGGTTAATCTCTGTCTTTGTTCCCCACCCCCTTGTTTCTTGCAGTAATGCTCATGGCATTGAGAACCCGGTCTTTGATGAGGTCCCTACTGTTAATTCAGAACCTAAGCCCAGGCCCCAGTTAACATATGTAGCCCGCCGCCAGCCATCAGAGTCAGGTCGGCACCTCCTTTCAGAACCGAATACTCCACTCTCCCCACCTGGCCCAGGGGACTGTTTCTTTCCATCATTGGGTAAGTATGCAACTGGAGTATGTTTGCAATGCCTGATAGGGTGCAGTTACACAGGAAAGGTGAATTAAGAGTGCTGTGATCTGATTTCCAGACTGTAATTATGTCTGAAATCGCATTCAGTGGTCATGCAGAGGCTGCAGATTGATTTGGGAGTTCATCCTTCATATTGGAGGCAATGCAATTTGCATTCCAGCCCACAGCCCCCTTTCTTTCTTTCCTTTTTTCCTGCCTAGGCCAGTCTGATGGGGAACTGAGGGGGCATAAATATGGGAAATAATAATGACCCAGTGTTAGGGTGATCTAGTGCCAATTTTATATGTATTTTTTTAAAAAATGTAAAAAATTAGGAAGAGGATCAGGAGAGAGGGAAGACAGAGGGGGGGGCACCAGGCCTAAACATCATGTCTCGACTGCCTGTGTCACCAAAATGTCAACGACAGACATGTCTCCCGTCTTTACAAGAAGGTGATTCACAACTGATCACATGATGAAAAATCCATTTGAATCATTCCAACCTGAAAAAGTAGAAGCCCCCCCCCCCCAAGTAGCTGAGAGAAAAAAAATCCACTTTGGGAGCAAAAAGTGCTGGACCGATTTGAATCAGCCTTTGAGTCAGGTGGTCATGAAAAAATACTTCAAATTCACCTGTTTTTTTAAGCAGAGCAAATCCCATGATATTTGACCATGTCCTCGCAGCCTTAGTTGGTTGTCACGAGTATTGGTAGATGATTGCATGGGAGTACAGTACCTGGCTCAAAAAAACGATAATAAAAAAAGGATAATTTACTTATGAAGATACCTTTATTAGTCTTAGACTGACCTAAGACGATCATTTTGGGTGTTTATAAACTGCTCACTTTGAGATGTACCATGGAAAGGGCTTGGTTGCACCTATCCCATAGCAAAAGGAACATCTTACTACAATCCTCCATGACTCTCAAAATCTAGCTGGAGAGATTTTCCTAGCCATCCAGAGCTAGTTTTAAGGGTGCAGGATGGGGTACAGTGGGAAAAGGGAAACATCCTTCTGTAGTCCAGCTCAATCCCACCATTTTAATTATCATGTTCTATAAACCAGCTTTGTTTATTCTTTTCAGCACCTGTTCCTGATTCGCCAGACCTGTCAAATGTATAAGTTTTCCAAGACAAAGGCCTTTCGTTGAATCCTTGACAGTAATATGGACATGGTTTTGCTGCTGCTTTCAAAGAGAGACAGAGAGGGAGGTAGCGAAGAAAAGGGAGAGACAGAAAACATAGAAGATTATTTCAAGAAGAGAAAAGTGGCAGGCTTTTTTTCTGAGGCACTTTGTGCATGTACTACTATTGCCCCTTCCTCTGGTAGTTCTTGAGAAAAAAGGGGGGAAAATTGGAAGACGCCAAGGTACTGAAAACTTCCAGGATTCTGCCAGATTTTAATTTTACTTCACAGAGTTGTTTATCATTTTATGAAGAACTGTTAAACAGGTTTCTTAAGTGGTGTATGATTTGATTACACAAGGACAACATGTTGGATTAGAGGAGCAATAAGGTATTTGAAATGTAACCAGAGGCGAAAGGAATTGTGAGTGCCACCTCCAAAAGCCTTAAAAACCAAACAGGGATTAGCAGTTATCTTTGTGGAATCCGAATTCCTTCCCCTCTGGAAACATGGCATGGATTTTAAAAAAATAAAATACTGTATGCAGTATATGCAGAAGATCCCTTTAGAGAAAAGTGTCTTATCTGTACTATACATATCTTTATACAAATTATATTTGTATATATGTTATTTTAATATATAAACCATTTTGGTGCTTTAGCCTAGCAACTGTATATTTCACTGGCTTGAATTCTCACACTCCACATTTGTATATGTGTTTGTGTGTGCTTTCCTAGAATATACTTTTGATTTTAGAAAGTCTGGCTCTGAACTCGGGTTCTACATCTTATACATCAGACTTTTAATTTTCCCCTAACTGCCTCTGGCTGAGTGTTACATGTACAAAGCATGTTACAGCATCAGTAGTTGAGTTTAATGTAAAATCTAGCCAACCCAAGCAGCAGGACTGTTTTCACAGAGTGACTCATGGGTGAGCCTAAATTATGGATTTTGGTGCAGATTCAGAGTCTGAAAATTCTTTCAAAACTAATCTAATACCGTGTTTTCAGTGTAGTTCAGTTTCAGTCAGTTGAAGTATTTATCTCTCAGAGGCAGTGCACATGAGGATATTTTCCCAAGGATAGCTTAAAAACATGTTCTAACCAGCTTGTGTTTGTCCGATTTCACAGTCCATTTAGCACACACAGCACATGTATTTCAAACAACTGAGTAAGAAAAGGCATCTGGGTGTCTTGGATCATACCATATTCATTGGTACATTTATTTCTGGGACACAAGAGCTTGCTGAGAGAGACTAAAGTATGCACTAGAGATGGAGATGAACCGTCAAAATGGCGGTACATCTTGGTTTGTGGTTTGTCAAGGTTGATGAACCACAAACCACAAATTTCTCCCTGCGAACTGAGGAACCATGAATTCGTTCACCAGTTTGTTTAGAAAGCCATGGGCTTCCCCCCCAAAAAACAAAAAACCCTGAGCCCCAAGTTCCTACAGCCTGTCTCCCCACCCCCCTTCCCACTGTCCCATCACCTTCTTAACTTGGCTGCCACCACCTGTTCTGCCCTGGCCTCTGCTGCTGCCGCCACCAACACCACCTTTGCAAATGTGGTGGTTGGGTCTTCCCGGAGGACTGGCTCCAATGCCCTAAGGGAAACCAGGCTGCCCTCTGCAAAGATAGTGGCAGCAGCTTACCTCAGGGCATTGGAGCCAGCTGTGAGGGAAAGTGTTTCCCTAAGAGTCAGCTCCAGTGCCCTAATGGAAGCTGCCGCGACCATCTTTGCAAAGTGCGGCTGCAGCTCCCCTTACAGCATCGGAAGCAGCTCTTGGGGAGGCGGCAGCCATGGCAGCAATGGTCAAGGTAAGGCAATGGGGACAGTGGAAAAGGAGAAAGGGGGCAGACTGGGGGGAGGGGCTGAGCTGTGGGGGCAAGAGGCTAGGTTAGGCTAGCCCTTCCTCCTCTGGCTATGGCGGACAAATGAAAATGGCTCAGTATTCATACCTTTGTATTCATTGGGGTCTCCAGAGTTGACAAATACGAAGGGGTGAATATTCCATGAACCAGCGATTTCTCACAAATATCGTGATTCATTTTTTAAAATTCATCCTTATCTCTAGTACACACCTAAGCATCACTAGCATCGGAAAAGTAAGTTTTTGGACAACTCCCAGAAAGTTTTCTGGAAACTGTAATCCAGAAACATAGTTTTGAGCAAGACTCTTACAAGACATACTTCTTTTTTCCCTCATTTCCTTTTTCCATTTCTGTCATGTATTTTATACTTTAAACTGCTCTAGTGTCCAGAGATTGTCTTTTTTTAAAAAATTGGCCATATGTAAACTTGCTCTGGGAGCATATTTAGAGGAAGGTCTTATTTCAGATCATTTAAATAAACAAAGGGAGACCTCCACATAAAATCACACTGAAATATAGACAAAAAAAGTCTTTTAAGCAAGGAAAGAAACAAATAGACCCCACAATATTAACTTCTTGCAGCAGGACAGCAATGTTTTGTTTAATGTTTATTATTAAAAAAATCCAAATATGAAAATGAAAAAACACGTACCTAATAACTTCATACAAAGCAACATAAACAATACAATTCAAGAAAGCACCTTCCCCAGGACCATTTGGAAATATAACCAATATTTCTTCCATTTGCAGAGCCTCATTCCTCTTCTAAAACTGCACTTATTCTTGCGCAGGTGCATAACCCTTCCCCTTTATTAATACAAAGCCAATAAATTCTCTCCAGTTATCATTAAAGATGTTCTGAATTATCAAACCCCTCTTGAGTTTAATATCACATGTTAACTTATCATAAATAGGCATACTCCAAACTTCCTTATACAGTACCATTCATTTAACTGAAAATCCTGCTTTACTTTTCAGTACCTTGCTTCCATTAATACTGAAATTTGAAATTGACTCTCTTGTTCTCCAGTTAAAATGCTCCTTGTCAAATATTGATAAAAGTGCTATTTTAATCATACTTCTTTATTTGACTTATTTCATTTATTTCCTTAAATACCAACTCCCAACATTTCTATATACTCTCACTTTCCCACCACATATGAAAATAAATACCTGTTTTCTGACAAACTCCCCTACATAACATAAAATAATTTGTGTATGTGATTTAATTTCACCAGAGTTAAACACCATCTCCAAACTAATTTATAGATTTTTTTCTTTTATCATTATAGACATAGACTTCAGTATTCTTGTATCTCATATACTAGTCCACACCTTGATACTTGCTTCCTCTCCTAATTCAAGTTCCCATAATGTTTTAAGAAAATCTTGGTGGTCATCTGTTTCTGTTAACATGTTGAAGATTTTACTTATTCTCCCTTTCAATATATTTTTTAATCTACCTTCTTCTGTAAAACCATTTCTTCAAATTTCATAAACTCCCTACAGTTGTTGTTGTTTAGTTGTTAAGTCATGTCCGACTCTTCGTGATCCCATGGACCAGAGCACGCCAGGCCCTCCTGTCTTCCACTGCCTCCCAGAGTTGAGTCAAATTCATGTTGGTAGCTTCAATGACACTGTCCAACCATCTCATCCTCTTGTCCACTTCTCCTCTTGCCTCCATCTTTCCCTATAGTTGCCCTTTCTTTTTTTATCAATCTTTACTCTGTTGCTCTAATTGAATATTAAACCAAGATATTTTTCCATTCCTTATACTTCTTTTATTTGGTCTTTATTCCTCATCTTTTCTAACCAATCTTTTATCCTTAATAACTTGTTTCTTTCTTTGCAGATTCTCCATATTTTATTTCAAATTAGCAGGAAAGCAAATACAAAATAGTTTGGTCTTGGACACAAATGATTTCCAACTCCCAACTTATTTTTCTAATATCAAGCCCATTCTGCAAGTAGACAGTTTTCCTCCCAATTCTTCGCTCTACAACACTTCACACTCATACAAAGAATGGGAACAATTATCTTAAGTTTGATAGAATATAATCTGCAAGTACATGTCACTTCTTAGGGCTCCTGGGTCGGCTCTGGGCCATGGAAGACATAGCTGCTGCTCAGTCCCAGGTTTAGTGCACATGCCATTTGAAGAGACTGAAATGACTGAAGGATGATTTCAAAGTTCCAAGTAAATAAAAAGATAAAAAATCTCTTGGACAAAGCTGTTATCCAAAACCTTCTTGTTAGAATCAGTGAAAGAGATGAAAACCTTCAAGGTATTTGGAAAACTCTCTTGAAGCATCGGACTATGACAAGAAGTCATTTGAATTATTTTCTTGTGTTTATCAAGCCGGCTTCAGTGCTTTTGAATGGCTTTCCGATGGGGGAAACATTGTTTCACTTAGCGATGTTTCCTATGGGGATTTTCGCTTAAAGACGTTAATCCGTTCCCATTGGAATGGATTAACCGGTTTTCAATGCATTCCTATGGGGAATGGTGTTTCACTTAACGATGTTTCACATAGCGATATTTGGAAGACTCTCTTGAAGCATCGGACTATGACAAGAAGCCATTTGAATTATTTTCTTGTGTTTATCACTTGGATGGTTATCATGAGTTAAAAATGTTTACTGAATGATGAGCAATTTGGTTAAAGAACTGACCAATTAACATCGTTAAGCGAGGCACCACTGTATCTTCTTGTTTTTATCATTTGGATGGTAATCATCAGTTAAAAATGTTTATTGAATGATGAGCAATTTGGTTAAAGAACTGAGTATTGCTCCTAAGGTAAATTAAGCCTGACTGATTAGCCAGTAAAGTTTTCTGCATGAGTCCATGACATGATGGTTTTAGAAAGGAGAAATTGGCATGTATTTTCATATAGACCATCAAAACAATATTTTGGATTACGGGTTGAAGTGTCATCTACTTTGGATGAATACAGTAGACCATGCAGCTGCTATGAGCATGACTGTGAAGGCCATACCCATCTTACCAAATGGTGCAAAGAGTTTTACCATTCTCCAGCTTCCTTCGATTTCCCACTTGAGTGTGGGAGTTTGATAAAAGATTCTCCTTAACAACTGGGAGGACAATACAAAAAAAATCAATTTACCAAGTGGTTGAATAGAATCTGTGACAAGTAGCCACTTGGTAAATATTCATTGTTAACTCTTTGAAATATTGCAATACATAACCTAGTAACATTTGTGTATACAGATTCTCCAGTATTAGAAAAGCCTTTAAGTAAACCTATGAGTAAAAATGAAAATGTAGGGGGGAAAATGAAATGTTAATGATGTAGTCATGGAGCTCCTTCAAAGTTAACCTGCTTGCTACTGTGTGGTAAGAGAAGAACTCTGTGTGTGCCAACGGGCTTACAAGGATAAGGCTGGTGGCTGCTTATCTTATGTGTACAGTACATAAGAATTGCTCTGACTGTCCCTCTCGATGTGTTTGTATTTTTAAAATGTAATATTGATACAATAAAATTTTATTATGGTTGCCTTCTTCTTTTGAATCAAAAAAGGTTCATGGGCAACTTTGTTTCCATTAACTGGAGACTTGAATGTTCTCAGCTACAGAACTGATCCCATGAGTCCTGTACAGGAAGCTGCCTTATACTGAATCTGACCATTGGTGCATCAAGCCCAAATGATCTCTAATCTCAGTGGCTTTACAGTGTTTCACGAAGTGGTCATTTCCACTGGGATTTGCTTGCCCATGTGACTGCCACATGCAGAAACATGCGTTCATTCATTCATTCATTCATTCATTCATTCATTCATTCATTCATTCATTCATTCATGGCCTTTTTATACCACCCTACTTACAGGCGTTCCTCAGCTTATGAAAACCTTGGTTTAAGTAATTTTC